TCAAAGGCCTAATCACCCAAGACACCCGAGTGGAACCCACAGCCCAGGGTTGCTGTCCTGGGGCTGACACCACATCCCAACCCCATACCCCACCCACTGTTCACGGCCTGCCATGACAGGGAGACCAGGGTGTTCCCCCCAGGACAGAGCAGACCCACCCGGCTGGTGTAACACTCCCATGAGGCGGACTGGAAGTCAGCGGCCTTGCTCCTGGCTCCACGCTGCAGCTGCCACCGCCCACCCCGACAATGGCCTGGTCAATGGAGCTCGCACCTCAGAGGACCAGGCCCCGCCCTGCTCCACCACATAAACTGCCACCATTGGTCTGGCCACGTGAATGACTGGGCAAAGTGGGTGTGACTTCTGAACCGACCAGTGAGCAGTTCACTGACTATTAGCCAAAAAAAAACCCAGGGAAATTTCTGAAGGCCGGGCTCAAGAAGAACCCCAGGCCCTGCCCAGCCACGTGAGTGGCACAGTAAGGGGGACCATCAAAACTGGCCAGGCAAGGGTGTGTAGACTATTTCCTTTCCTGGCAAAAAAAAAAATAGGAAACTTGGTGGAGCCACCTACTGAGCTAGTTGGAGTCTAAGGCTGCTTCCCAGGCCACGGCCATGCCATCCACCTGCTGCCTCCATTGAGCCCGCTGCATGAGTGACAGCAGGGTGGGGCGAGGCTTTGCCACTGGCCAGGCATTGGTTTGTTGAGATTTCACCTTTCTTGCCAAAAAAAAAAAAATGGAAAAGGGCTAGAGGCTTGGGTGATGTAGTGAGTGCCTGCTTAGCCGTGGGTGCCCCAAAGTCAAACCTCAATATTGCAACAAAAAATTAATAATAAATGCACTGTTGACTGATATCTTTGTAGGTTAGCTAATGTTCTTTAATTGATGCTCCTTACAGTGTTAAAGAAGTTTGATTCAACATACAGTTATAAGGTAGTGTTTTTCAAGTACAGTTAACTTAAACATATAGTTATGAGTACAGTATTCACAATTCACTAACCCTCTGTAAGTAGATTATAATTTTTGTGTTTCGATTTAAGTAAATGGTCCCTATTAAACCTTAAACCATACAGATAGAGATACATAAAATCATAGACTATTTCTGTATGCTATAAGTTGTTATTAGAAATGTTTGCTAGTATATTTACCTGAGGAAATATTAGCCTGTTTTTGTGAACAATGGAAGGAGTTAGGCACCAGTGGATCACACCTGTAATCCTAGCTACTCAGGAGACAGAGAACAGGAAGACTGGGGTTCAAAGACAGTCAGGGCAAATAGTTCAGGGGACCATATCTGAAAAACCCTATACAAAAAAGGTCTGAGGGAATGGCTTAAGTGGTAATCTGCCTAGCAAGCTTGAGGTCCTAAGATTAAACGCCAGTGTTGACTAAAAAATCATTTCTAAATTTTATGTGGTCTAAATAAAAAGTTTTCCCTTGATGGCAAACACACAGATACAAATTCTGTAATGAATGTTTTAAATGACATGAAAGGGTGGTTACAGACCAGAGGAGCCAGCCTCCTGGGAGCAGAGCAGGGAAAAAAAGGTACAGAAACAATGGGGAGAATCACCAGCACATTGGACTGAATTCAGTCAAGTTTTATGGCCTTCACCTACATCCAGTCATGTAATAAATATCTACTGCACTTCTGCATTGTTTTCAGCACTGTTCCAAGTGTTTGGCAGAAAGCAATGGAAAAACCACATCATGAGAGTGGCAGCCCATAAAGCTTACACTCTAATAAGGGGAAGTCAGACAACAGCTCCCAATAAGCACAGATTGGGATGGTTAATCCTGGTTGAAAATGTAACTGAATTGAAGGATGCCCAGAAAACGGTAACACCCATCTGATATGTCTGTGAGGGTGTTTCCATAGACAGGTATGTGAAAAAAATGAGTGCAAAACCAGCCCTGAATGTGTGCAACACTGGCCAATAGGAGGGAGGCCTGGATGGAACAAAAAGTAGAAATGGGGAAACTCACCTGTGGGCACAAGCTCAAGTCTTCTTAAGGGGTTATGTGTGTCCCTGCCACCATTTTCTGTGGACTTCAGACTCCAGCTTCTTCAACTTTGAACATGAACTCACCAGTGACTCTCCAGGGAGCTTCCAGTCCTTTAGGCTTGGACTGGGGCTGCATCTTTTGGCCCTCTTGTTCTGAGACTTCCAGCTTCATGGACTGGACAGCTACTGGTTTCCAAGTCTCTTCAATTTGAAGACAACCATTGTGGGACTTTCCAGCCTCTGGTCATGTGAGGCAATTTAATAAATCCCCTCTTATAATTGTATATACATTCTATTGGTCCTGTTTCTGTAGAGAACTCTGACTGATACATAGATAGCAAAACATGCTCTGTAGACAGTTACAATAGGGTGGCCAGACAATGAGGGTATAAGAAGAGGAAACAGGTAAGCTGACCTCTAAAGGTAAAGAACCCTGGGAATATAAGGGAGAATATTTGGGCATTATGAACAGATAGTTTGAAGGCCATGGTGGTAAATGGAGTAAGACAGTGTGTGGGGAGGTGAGGGGTCAGTGGGTGGGCAGGATCTCTGAAGGTTCTGTGGTGCAGTGTTTTTATTTCTTTTGGATGGGATGAAAGATAGGTCTGCACAGATTTTTTTGGCTTGGAAAGAATAGAATTGAAGGGGCCAGGATCCTGGTGAGGGTCCCTATAGGGTCTACCTGAGAGTACAGGAGCTGGGTAAGGACTTGGAAAGGAAAAGACATATTGTGGCTGTGTTTGCAAAGTTGGAGGGGGCAGACAGGAATAAAAAGTGATTATTTTTCTTCTTCTTTTTTTCTTTTTGAAGGTTCCTGCCATCTCTGGGGTGATAGGCACTTGCTACCATGTTCTGTTTTTTTCATTGAGGTAAGAACTTGCAAACTTTTTTATCCAGGCTGGCCTGGAACTGCAATTCTCCTAATCTCAACCTGTCAAGTAGCTAGGATTACAGGTGCATTTTATATCAATGACATATTTTGCTTGGTGACAAGCTAGATCACTGTTTGTTTTCATGTATCAACAAGACATCTGCCTTCACTTTTAAATTTCAAAGTTCACTTATTCTCTAACATTGAGGTACATATTTTAAGTTATAGGCACAGACTATTTTTTTCCTGTGGATTTTTGGATTTTTATACATATATCAAATATAGTTCTGAACAAACATCCCAGTAGAAGCACTTCTGTAAGTGCACTGTGTTTAGGTTTTCATTTACACTTAGCTTCACTGTTGCAACAAATAGCCCCAAATCTCAGAAAAAAACAACACTAAGTATTTGCTTGTGTTACTGGAAGGATGTGGGTGCTGGTGTATGTGGACTGTGCATAGCTAAGCTGACTTCTGCTAAGCTCCAAATAATCTTATGCTGATCTAATGTCAAAGATAAGAAGGGGAAATATAAGAATATGTCTGGGGGTGGGTACCAGTGGGAAGGAGGAGGAAATAAGGAAAGGGGGTCAGAGTGTGAATATGGTGGGAATATTCTGTATATATGTATGAAAATAGAAAAATGATACCTGTTGAAACTGTTCCAAGAATGGGAAGGGGGGAGAAAGGAAAAAGATAGAGGGGGTTAATTAAACTATGAAATATTGTAAGAAAAATTTTTAATGTCACAATGGATGCCCAGTACAATAATAACAAAAATAAAGTATTAAAAAAGAATATCTCAGACATCTATATGATTAGAAGATTTGTTGAAAATATGCAATGCATGCAGGATGGAGGTAGACCCAAATTTTATCTAATCACAAATGATAGCAAGATCTGAGTCCACATATGAGTTTTATATTCATTAAAAAACTAAGCAGCACCACAACAAAATCCTTCAGTATCCTAATAACAAAATAAGATGGAGGAAGTTAAATTGTGGAAATGAATCTGGAAGAGGAAATATTACTAATGTCATCAGACTACATATCATTAGTCAATTAGTATTCACTTGCTCTCTCTTGTCTTTTTTTCCTTTATTCTGATTTAAACTACTTACTTGTTGCAGCCTATGTTAATTTTCAGGTACTATTTACAAATTAAGCATTATTATTTCTGCAATTTTTATTTGCCACAGACAATGGAGTCCGCAACGACCTTAAGTGAGTTCTGAAATGATATGCATGTACTTTAAGAGTGTGCGTTCAGGGACTTCTCTGTGGGTTGGTTCAACTGAATAATTTGTTAGACATATACAAATTAATTTATGAATATTTTGTTTTACTAAATAGTTACATTGAAGAACTAGCATTCTTTGGATAATCTCACAATTTAATACAAAATTTAAAAGTAGCAAAAAGGACTTGAGTAATTTAAATAGACTTTCCACTTAATATTGAAAGATAATCTGATGGAACAGTGTTGCTTCTCAGTATCCTCTGTCTAGTGCCCTCAGCAAAACTTCCCCCAAGATGCATCTAGTTAAATGTAATCAGCTTCAAAATCACAACCTCAGAATTTATTTTGTTTTCTTAATATACATCATAACATCTCAGGACATATATCCTCTCCTACTGCTTCATCTAATTATCCGAGCAAAAATCTTGATGTCTTAGGTGGGCTACTTCATAATGATTTTGTAAATAAGAGCCTACCTTGATTGGAGGAAACCAAAAAACAAAATGAAACAAAACAAAAAACAAACAACAAATAACAGTACCAAACTGAAAGCATATTCTTTACATACACAACATGGATTTATGCTTGTGACTGAATACTGTTGAGGAAATTATTTGCCTTTATGTTTAGAATTTTACTCATAAAGACCTTAATATTTGTGTAAAACTGGCTGTTTCAGAAAGGGAAAAGGGACTAAATATGCTCTGAATTTTATACTATGTAACTTGTGATTCCTTAATAAAAAATACTTTTAAAATCTGTAAGAATTCACCAAGCTCTCTTGCTCTCTTGCTCTCTTGCTCGCTCTCTCGCTAGCTTCCTTCCTTCGGGGTGGGCTTATCCCCAGCTCTCTGCCGTGGTTGGGGTCGACCAGCAGGATGATGACTTCGGAGATGGAGTCGTTGGTCGAGAGCAGCTTCTCCGCCAGCTTTGCGTGTCGGCCTCCGGGTCTCTGCTTCCCGCGCGCTCCCGCATCTTCAAGATCATCGTGATCGGCGACTCGAAAGTGAGCAAGACGTGCCTGACCTACCGCTTCTGCGCCAGCCGCCTCCCCGACCGCACCGAGGCCACGATCGGCGTGGACTTCCGCGAGCGGGCGGTGGACATCGACAGCGAGCGCATCAAGATCCAGCTCTGGGACACGGCGGGACAGGAGCGGTTCAGGAAGAGCATGGTGCAGCACTACTACAGGAACGTGCATGCGGTCATCTTCCTGTACGACATGACCAGCTTGGCCAGTTTCCACAGCCTGCCATTTTGGATAGAGGAATGCAAACAGCATTTGCTCTCGAATAGCATACCACGGATTCTCGTTGGAAACAAGTGTGACTTGAGGAGTGCCCTTCAGGTTCCCACAGTCTTGGCACAGAAATTTGCAGACACACATAGTATGCCTTTGTTTGAAACCTCTGCTAAAAGCCCGGATGATAATGACCACCTGGAAGCTGTATTTATGACTTTGGATCATAAGCTGAAGAGCCACAAACCATTAATGCTTAGCCAACCTCCTAATAACAGAATTACCCTGAAACCTGAAGCAAAGCCTGCAGTGTCATGCTGGTGCTGAATTAACGGTCTTTATTATACTGTCTGGTTTGTCTAAAATGCTCTTTCAGTATGATAAGTCATAAGATTTCATTTTAAACAGTATGGTCATTCTGACACCTCACTGTTTGTGATTGTCACGCACACTTTTGTATTTACTTAATCAAGCTTGTCACTGTGACCATGCAAGGATAGAGCTGATTTTCAAATGAGATTGAAAACGAAGTAAAGACAGACGAGTCACAGCATCTGCCTAGTGAGAGCCCAATGAAGGGAGAGGTAGCCTCGTGGGAGCATGGTGGGATGGGAAGCCAGTAACTCCATCCCTGGTACTTGAAGAAGAAATACTGTTTTCTATACAGCCTGCCTTAAATTGCAGATCCATTGCACAAAGTTTTGCTCAAGCATGGTCAGAGTAAAAAATAAATAGATCAAAGCAAATTCCCCAAACTAAAGTTTTAATATCCTGCAGCTCAGAAGCTATGAAGCTTATTCAGTCCATTGTTGTGTTTAAAACCCTGTGGGGTCAGCCGAGTGTTTCCCTGACCTTCATTTTGTGAAAATCTGCCTCCCTAAAAACAAGTGGTGCCTCAAAAGCAAGGTAAAAGTTACGGTAGCTCTCCTATAAGCAAAATGGCAATGCAGCATGCTTGATTGAAGTGACAAGGTGACAATTTGAGATCTGTGCAACTGTCTCCCATCTTTAGCAGAAGTTGTGCTGCTTTGTGGGAAGGATGAGTGAGAAAGGGGCGCCTATAGCGGGAGCATGCACAGTGCATTCCAGAGCGTGTTTTCCCCCACCCCACCAGCATGCGCAGTGTAACACGGAGGGTCTGTACTGTGAGCATGCGCAGTAGAACGCGGAGGTCAGCAGCCGAGCTTGTGTGTTCTTACCCTGTAGAGGCTTCCTTGGGACCACAGGCCCAGAACCAAGGGTTTCTGCACATCTACTGATGTGTAAGGCGGATGAAGTGACTTGAAAAGGTGCTTCACGTTTTACTTTGTGACTTTAAACAGTGAAGACCGATTTGAGAGCATCTTGGGCATTGTCCCCTGGAATTAGCAAACGTGGGTTCCTGGTGGCCCTTGCTCTCAGCTCACCTCCAATCGAATGAATAAACGCTGGATGAAAGGGGCTTGCGACCTCTGCCTGCGAGCCTTCCTGTGCTTCTGCTGCTACCGAATTTCACTTTATTTTGGCAGTACTGGTATTCATTTGCCAGGCAGGTGCTCTACCACTTGAACCACTTCCTCTACCCTTTTGCTTTCCTTGTTTTTCAGACCAAGGTCTGGTTTTGAGTCACCACTCCTGGCTTCAGTCTTTAAAATGTTTAAATTTTGTGGCCCAACAAACTATTGCTCCTCAGTATGAAGAACAAATTAGATATTGAAAAATGTCTGTCCCCAGTGATGAAAAGACTAAAAATTTTTTGGCCTAAATATTTGAATTTTGAATTTAAGGAAGTGTGCTGGCCTAAGAAGCTATTTACACAAATGGGATGTGAGCCATGTACTTGAAACCACATCACTGACGCCTACCCTTTGCAGTCCCGGAAAACTGCAGACGAAGTCAAGCTGAAAAGTGATTCAGTATTTTCTGAATGTGGGAAACCAACTGGATGTGTATGTAATCTAATCTAGTTAGGATTTTCGTTTAATCATGGTGGTTCTCACTGGATAATTTAGTTCAAACAATAAATTACCGAAAGTAATAATTACAAAATGATTATGCAGTTTTAAATATTAGAGCTGAAATTGGCTTTATTTACAATTAGAGATCATGCTAGAAGTGAGGATTAAAAATTGTTTTACATTTTGTTTCAATTAGCATTGATTTATAACTATTTTTATAGAACATGACAGCTATAGTGATTGTGATGGGTGAAATTGTTTTTTAAAGAAGGGAATCTATTGCCTTTTTAAAATTGGAGAAGGAAAATTCAGAGACTTTCACTTAGAAAGTCTTTTTCATTCAGTACAGTTATGTGCTTTTAAAAAACTATTTTTTCTTGTAAAGAAGTTAAGTATCCTTTACAGATCTGTACAAGGACTTATTTTTTCACTTTAGTATTTATTTAAAAATATTTTTATCTCATTTGCAACAACTTGCCATTTTAATTTTTAGTAGGTATGTTTTTACTTTAGAAACGAACTTATCAGGTGAATGAGAATAAAGCTTTTTAGATATACCAAAATGTTTATAAAACAGCTAATTGTTGAAATCACTTCTGAAATGGTGGCTATCTAGTAACTAATAATTTTTTGAAGCACAAATGACATTTTGTAAATCTCAATTTAACTCTTACTTTTAATTGAAACATCAAATATGTTTAAGAAAAGTTGTAATTTGAGACCATCAAAGGAAACTACCTCCAGAATTGAATGTAGTCAGCTATTAACAACAGAACTTTATTGAAAGAATATTGCTAATACACTTTCACATGAAATCCAAACTAAAGTTAGTTTTGCAAGGAACAGTGTCACTCTTACATTTCCCCCATGAAGGACAATAAATCTTTGTACCAGGAAAAAAAAAAAAAAAAGAATTCACCAAGCTTCAAAGTTACCAGGATCATTAACTATTCATGGAAAAAAGGCAATTGACTTCACTTTGCATATGTCACTTTTGCTTCCTTTTCTTTTTTCACTTAAATACCAATTTAAAATTAAGATGTTATATTAAATAAGTACTTATACTGATTCTTAGAGGTCTTAGTAACTCAAAATTCAGAAAATTTGTTGCTGTTCAGGTCTCCACTCTGACATTACTGCATGTTAAAGCAACCAGCACAATATGGAAGCTGTGATTTTTGCTCTTCATGACACTTGGAGTTTTCTCATCTAATGCATGTTGCTCAAACATAACCTACCAGTAGTAATTTCTTTAGGATTCACTGTGGTGAAAAAGTAAACAAAACAGGGTCAACCAACACTAAATTTCATTCAGCACATTTCTTCATATGTAAGCAAATCAATTTGAAAAATGTTAGTGACAGAATCAGGATAACATTAACAGAAAGTGGTTAACAAAGAAATGAGGGCTTACTCTTCATGGTGGCAGTGGTTGAAGACTCTTAATGATGGTGTCTTTAAACTGTGAGATCTTTTAAAACAAGGCCAGTGTGATTTTGTTTGCTAACCATTATATATATATATATATATACTGATACATTACCTTCTAATAAGATTGTTTATAAGTTGTACATATGATTTAATAACCTCTAGCAACTCTCCTATTAATATATTTAAGGCTACAGAAACCCATGTACATATACGTATGTATATGCACAGTACATATATATGTATATATATGCAAAAATATGCAATTTGTACCATATTGGTTAGATCTTCAACATATCATTGACATTGAATTTATTATTTTTTAATATCAAGAAAATAAAAATAATTTTGAACAATTGAATACGAACTGAAATGCTTGTTTCTTCTTTGGAATAAATGGGAGATATTTCTTAAATATAATTTTAAAATGTTATTTGCATTAATTATGGGAGCCTAGATAGCATCATAATGATTGAGGACATTTAACTCATTTAATTTATGTGGAAAATGTGGATTTTTTCTATAAATGATACATATTTCATGTTGTATGTTATTTAAATATATGACATATATATCACTAAATATTAATATAACAATATATGCTATATTGGTTTAATATAGTAACAACACTTTAATATGTTAAATGTTTGTATATTGTTTACTATAAACTATTATACATTTAAGAATAATATATTTAGCTAAATTCATCTTCTGGTTTCATGGTGTCCTTCCATTTTTACTTTCTTCTTCAAAATTTGCCCCCTGATTTTAAGTAATGACAACTAGGGTTGTCTCTAACTCATGTTCATGTGATTCCCTAATCTCTGTAATTTCTTTTATGATCAATGGCCATACTGATCTAGTGATTCATGGTTGTGGGGCAAGTGCTGCTAGCCATTGTCGGTTTCTGTTTTTATAGAGGTCTGCTATGACCAGTGTCACCATTTGCACTGAATAATTTCTGGCTCCCTTCACTGAGCTGACATTAAATCATCCTTGTTATTGTGATACCCAGTACAGCTATCATATTCATCACTATCACTAACAGTCTTGATCCTCTACTTGTATCAAAACATAGGAGTGCAACTTTGGCCCAATTATTTCTGTTGCCTATTTCTAATTGAAATTTTTCTTACCTTTTTTTCTTTTTGTTATTTTTGGCTGTCTATTTGGTTGATTATATTTTCTAAATATTAGCCCTTCAATGGATGAATCAATGGCAAATAACTTGTCCCATTTTGTATGGTGTGTCTAAAGTGTTGTGTTCCTTACTGTGCAGATGCTTATTAGGCATAATCCTATTTGCCCGTTTTTGCTTTTGTTGCCTGTGCTTTGAGGTTTTATGTAAAATCATTACCCACATCAATGTATTAAAATGTGTCCCTTATGTTTACTTCAAGTAGTTTTATGGCTTCAGATCTCACATTTAAGTGTTTGATCCATTTTGTGTTGATTTTTTTTTTATTTAGGGAAAAGTAGGAATCTGGTTTTATTCCTTCATATATGTATATCCAGCTTTTCATCACAGTTTATTGAAGAGATGGATCCTTCCCAAGTGTGTTTTCTTGATGTCATTTTGAAAATCAGTTGTACTTGTTTAGACTAATTTCTGGGTTCTTCCTAAACCTTGCCCTCTGTCACTTGAGCTCTTTTCTCTGCACATAGATTTTTAATCTTTTTTTTTCACAATAAACTTTCAAATCCAGATTGATATTTATTACTTTTTAAATTTTATTTACTGTTTCCTTTATTGTGTTGTGTGAGGGTACATTGTAGCATTTGCAAAGGTTCTTACAATTTATCAAATATATCATAGTTGAATTTATTACTTTTTATATCTTTCATTTGTCAATAAGCTCTGTGGGAGGAAAATATCTATGTAGATGTATTCCAGTTGCTATTTCTATTCTTTCATGTCATTTGAAGTCTCAGTTGCATCACAAGGAGTAAACAGCTTTTATT